TGATTTATCTGCATTTTTCTCTTCATTTGAGCTTTACAATTCTGTGAGGTAGGTACTACAAAGTGTTGTCATTTCCATATTGAAAAGGAGTAAACTGAGGCTCAGAGAGGTTAAGGGTCTTGTCCACAGTCACTAGTAAATGTCAGAGGCAGGATATGAACATAACTTAGTCTTCTACAAATGCCAACTCTAGAACTCTTTACATTCCTCATCACAGCCTCTCAAGAACAATTATATTTCTCTTTTCTGTGATGCTTTCTAGCTCCCGTGCATAAAACTCAGTTATAGTCATGAAGCAAGCACTTAGCAATTTTTTGACAAACTCAGAATCAGCCTAGATGAATGTCAAAGAAAAGGCAAGACAGAGTTCTACTATTGTGATCCAATTGAGCTTTATAAATACTCAAGCTCATTTTGTTGTTGTTCAGTCGTTTCAGTTGGATCCAACTCCTTGTGGCCCCATTTTTGGGTTTTTCTTATCAAAGTTGCTGTAATGGTTTCCTTTTCCAGCTTATTTTATGAATGAAGAATATGAGACAAATAGGGTTAAGTGACTTGCCAGGGGTCCTACAGTTAATAAGTTGTCTGAGGCCATATTTTAACTCAGTTCTTCCTGACTCCAGGCCCAGAACTCTATCCACTATACCACATAGTTGCCATTTTTAGGTAATTAAAATTTTCTCTAGCTAAACCAGAGTCTTCCATGATGTGTCTAAGAGACTTCCATTGCTTTGTTACTCTTATATGCTTGGAATCTGAATGTTTATCCCTACTTCTGAAGTGAATTTGGGAAAGGATGGAGATTTTAAAAGAATTACATTCTTCTGACAGGAATCTATAAAACCACACTCTGGGCATTTTCATTGACTGTCTCTCATACCTTTAATGGTCTCCGTCATCATCTCTGCCTTTTGGCTCCTTGGCTTCCTTCAGGTCCCAGCTAAAATTCCACCCTCTACAGGAAGCCTTTCTAATATCCCTCTTATTTGTAGTGCTTAATTCTGTCAATTACTTCCCATTTATCCTAGATATAGATTGTTGGCACATAGTATTTGCATGACATCTCCCCTCCCAATAGATTATGAGCTCCTCAAAGACAATGATTGTCTCTTGTTTTTCTTTGTGTGCCCAATGTTTAACACGGTGCCTGGCACATAGTAGACATTTAATAAATGCTTATTGACTGACTAACTGACTAACCCAAGTCATGTTCCCTTGTTTTCAAGGAGCCATCTAATTTTTTGTTTATTATTACTGTTGCCACCAACATCATTGTTGTTACAATTAATAATGCTAATAATAGTAATAAAATTCATCTTCCCAACAGTGACTGGCCAGAAATCATGAACTGAAGTTTTCATCCTCTTTTCAGTAGAACTCACACCCTGGGACCCTGCTGTCCTGCCTTTTAAGCAACTGCCTCACCTAACCCACTTTTTCAGGTAGATTCCAGCCATGCTCTACATCACTGCCCACTGCCTGGTGCTCTTCTCAATAGCCAGTAATCTTGCCACCAGAGACTTCCCTCCATCTCCTCCAATTCTGGAACCATAATCAAATCATCTCTGCCATTATTTTTCGAAGAATTGCATCAATCTAGTCCAACTACAGCCTTACTCACCATCTCTGTTACATTCTGGATCAAAGTTCCTACCTTCCCTCCTCATATGTATTATGTCCCTCAATTAGAATGTAAGCTCCTTGAGGGTAGGGACTGCTTTTGTTTTTGTAATTGTGTCTTCAGAACTTAAGACAGTGCTTGGCACATAGTAAGTGTTTAATGAATTTTTTCTTTGTTTCTTGTTTCTTTCTTCTATATATCCTTCTATATATCCATGAGTTTTACCAAACATTTTCCTTACAACAACTCTATGAATTAAGCATTTCAAGTGCTATATTCCCTATTTTTTTCATGACATTTCTTCTTTTGTGGAGGGCTAGACTTTTGGGCTCACTTCATTCAGTATTTGCTGTCCTGCCTATGTTTTTCCACACCATGGAACAAGATGTCCCTGAGCCAGGTACGCACTCTTGTCCCACCCCTACCTGCTTTCTTTCCTCCTTTTATGTATTGTCTCCCCCCATTCACTCTTTGAAAATATGGACTATCTTTATTAATTGTATCTCCACTGCTTAGCACAGTGCCCCACATATAGTAGGTGCTTAATAAATGTTAATTGGATTGGATGTATTAGATTGGATTTACATAATTTAAATGGTGAGATCATTGCAAATTTTTCTTGAAATGAATAAGATACAGCCTTTTTCCTTGAGGAGTTTGCAATATCATTGGAAAACTCAGCAAAACAAAAGTCATAAATAAATGGCAGATAGTAAAGTACAAACTACATATGTGTGCTTTAGGGGGTGGGAGTGGGGAAGAAGGCCATGATCACGGACTGCTCCCTCACACACACCAAAAAGAAAAAAGAAAAAAAGAAATGAAGACTTCAGTGACCTAAGCTACCAAACTTGAGCCATCTGGATTGGATCAAATAAGCAATTATCACACATGTGTATAGTATTTTACATCATTAGAATCCTATTCCAGTACCTCATTGTGACAAAGAGGTGACTTTACATTCTCAAAGACTATGAGAACAAAGCACAAACTTTGGTAGCTTCCCTCTAGCTGAGAAGGATTCAAGTACTAATATGGAGGGAAATCATTAACTATTGCCCAAGGAGGATCAGCCAATCTAAGAGCTCATCACTAAGCTGGGCAGAGGATAGTAAGCTCTACAGCCACTCTCAAAAACTACATCACAGAGAGACTGCTATGTGCACTAGTGGAAGAAGTGATGACAAAATTAGAGATCCTTGAATCATTGAAGTATTCATGTCTCATTTCACCCTCTAATTGCCATGCAAGGTAGGCAGTTCAAGAATTAATCCCATTCTAAAGATAAGTAAAATGGACCTCAAAGATCTGATGTGATTTGTCCATAGTAAGTTGTCAAGCCAAGACTTGAATCCAGGTCTTCTGCCTTCAATTCTAGTGCCTCCTTAAAGGGAGGGAAACCGATAAGAGATAGAAGAGGGGGAGAAAAAAATGAGAAGTGAAAGACATTTGGAGAATCAAGCCTATTCTCCAAATAAGCTGTGTGAGGCTTCAGCAGCAAAGCATGTTAAGGGGAGAAACAAGATCTCCAGTGTAACAGAAAGTGATGTATACTAGATGACAGCTGGTCGACGAAAACATACAGTACATTTTCAGTTACATTTATGTTTGGGAAATTGATGTATTTCCAAAGCACTGGTAGAAAATGCTGGCAGCACAAGGCGGGCCAAACTCCCACAGTTTGCATCTGATCCACAAGAGTAGGAGTAAATATGCCTGCCATAAACATTCATATTTTGTTATTTCATATATAAACTAATAGCAAGGTTTGTAAACAAAAATAGCTACAGTCTACTTTTGGATCTGTGCTAGGTAGCTGGGCTATGTTGAGTTAAGCTCCACAGAGCACTGAACTGGACCTAGGTGTTAGTCCTATCTCTGCTACTGACTTCTTCTCTGACCTGAGGTAAATCACTCCATGTGTCTTGGCCCCAACTTACTCCTCCATAAAATGAGGGATTTAGAGGAGATGTTATCTAAGGTCACTCTCAGCTCTAAATGATGCAGGGTTCTGAGTTATGAGGTAAGATGCTGTGGGAAAGAGTTTTCCTCTAGGTAGAAAATTGTAAATTGGGGTTTCCAGGCTTATAAGTCAGGCACTTCCCCCTCCCCCATTTTCATTGAAATTTAATGCTCAATGTGAAGAAAGCACTGAGGCTGGGATTCAGTACCCTTGAGTTCTCATGCCCCCTTACTCATTAGCATAACAATTTGGATTACATAAAATCAAAAATGTTTACCCAAAAAAACAAAATGCAGTTAAATTTTTAAAAGGAGAAAATTGACTGGGAAAACCTTTGCAAATGTTTCTCTGATAAATGTTTTATCCCAAGATATATAAGGAACTAACTGAAATTCATAAGAATAAGAACTATTACCCAATTGACAAATGGTTAAAGAATATGCATAGACAGTCCTCAAAGAAAGAAGTCCAAATTAACAACAGATATAGATATGTATATGTATGTGTGTATCTATATCAATATCTAGATAGAGAGATATTATCCCAATCACTAAGTATTAGAGAAATACAAATTTAAGGAATTCTGAGTTTTTAATTTCTATCTGTGTAATTTTCAAAAATGAGAAGAAAAGTAAAGTGCCAAATATTGGAGAGGCTATAGGAAAACAGGTACACTAATGCGATATTGGTGGAGCTGTGCATTGTTTCGACCACTGTGAAAGCAATTTCAAACTATAACCAAAAAGTCACAAAACTTCACTAAACTAAACTTTTGACACAGTGACACCACTATTAGGTCTATACAACAAAGACATGAAGAATGAGAATCATATGTACAAAAATATTTATAGCAGCTCTTTTTGTGGTAGCAAAGAACAGGAAACTAAGGTGATGCTCATCAGTTGGGAAATAACTGAGCAGGTCGTATATGAATGTAGTGGAATATTTCATAAGATAAGAAATGATGAAAAGAGAAATTTTAGAGAAATTTGGAAAGAAATTTGTGAACTGATTCAGAAACAAGTAAAGAGAACCAAGATATCAACTCATACAATAGCAACAATAATGTAAAAGGAAAAAAAATAACTTGGAAAGTCTTAAGAAATTTGAATACCAATGCCAAAGCATACTATCCAATTTGATAGAGAGGTGATTAACTCAAGATGCTGAATGAAACATGCCTTTTTATATGAGGAAAGTGAGAATTTATTTTGCTTATCCATATGTTAAAGGGTTTTACTTTTCTGTTGGTGTGAATAGGGTGGGAGGGAGAATAGGGATGGTGTTCAAAAAGAAAAGAAAGAACTGAAATGAGGCAAGAAAGAATCACAAATAAGCCAAATAATTTTGAAAGATACATTTCAAATTTATTACATGTTTAAAAAGAAAAGCAAGATTTACATTATAGAGGTTCACAGTTTCATACATAATCCCATCTTTCTGTTCTGTAACACATACTGAAATGTTCACTTTATTTGGTATTTGTTATGTTCAGAAAAAATGTAACATAAAATACAATTTTAAAGAAGTCAGGAATTGTTGCAAAGGACAGGGCCTGGTCCCAGTCGCTCCATTCAGTACTAAGGCAAGAGAAAGGAAAAAATATTTAATGGACTCAAAAGTCTGGAGGAAAAAATATTGGGAGAACAAATAGCTTAAAATAGAATGAGAAAATATAACCCAAGCCATAGAATCCCTTGAAACTGGGGTCTGTTTTGTTCTTTTTTGTTTTAAGAGAGGAAATAAGGCAGCAAAAAAAGAAATATATTAGAGAAAATGAGCAAAAAAGGAGGAATTTACTTTTTCTCAAAAATGAGGTTTTCAAAAAATAGTTTACAAACATTGAGGAGGTAGGGGAGCAGTTCACAAACTTCACTCATCCAAAATAAGCAAAGTGTGTGTGCACACACACACATATGCATACACAGAGAAAGAGAGAGAGAGAGAGAGAGAGAGAGAGAGAGAGATCAGTGTAAAAAAAACATAAAATTGAAAAGAATGATGGGGACAAAGAAAGGAGAATGGGACTTAAAAGGAAAAGTAAAGTTAAGAAGGGAATAGTTATAAGGAAAATAAACTTCAGCTTCATAGTGTATACCATAAAAGTTGAATTAAAAGAAAAGTTTAAAAAAATGTAAGAACCAATAGATAAAAAGGAGTGAAGGAGGAGTAGGATCAGGTCATTTAACTTATACATTAATAATATTAATTTTATCTTTAATATACTAAAAAGTCTATTTAAAAGCAAGTTTTAAAATTATCTGTAATAGAAAAATGCTAGAGACTCTTCTAAGGCAATCAGGGGTAAAATACAGTTATCCATTGTCACTACTATTATTTGATCGAATTCTAGAAAGCCTGGCTAATACAAAATGAGAATATAAAGAAATTAAAGGATAAGCACAAACATAGAAGAAACAAAATAATTATCATTTTTATGTGCAAATCATATGATGGTTTACTTAGAGAACCTTAGAATTCAGCTAAAATTAATTCAAACAGCTAAGAATTTCTGGAAAGTAAGAAGATATAAACCCACAAAAATTATTTTCCTTTCTCTTTATTACCAAGGAAACCACAAAAGACCAGATTTTTAAAAAAAGAAAGAAATCCCATTTAAAATATATACAGATTTTATAAATGTCTTAGAGTCAAGCTGCCGAGACACATACAAGAATTTTATGAATATAGCTACAACACACTTTTCACAGAAATAAAAACAGAAAAATTATTAGAAAGATATTAAATGTTAATTATTGGATAATGCCAGCATAATAAGAATAACAATACTAACTAAAATAATTTATAAACCCCATACTATAAATTTGGAACTATGTTCAAAGGACTATAAAATTGTACATACCCTTTGACCTAACAATACCACTACTTGGTTTATATCCCAAAGACATTAAAGGAAAAGAATTCACATGTACAAAAATATTTACAGTAACTCTTCTTGTGGTAGCAAAGAATTGGAAACTAAGGGAACGCACATCAATGGAGGAATGACTGAACAAGTTATAACATACGAATGTGATGGAATACTATTGTACTAAAAAGAAATGATGAAGTAAATGGTTTCAGAGAAAAACTTGGAAAGACTTATGTGAACTGATGCAAAGTTAAGTGAGCAGAACAAGGAGAACAATGTACATAGTAACAGCAATATGTAAAGATAGTCAACTGTGAAAGAATTTGTAACTGATCAGTACAGTGATCCACCACAACTCCAAAAGACTCGTGATGAAAAATGCTATTCACCTCCAAAGAGAGAACTGCTAGACTCAGATGGCAGATTGAAGCATTTTTTTTACTTTGTTTTTATTTCTTTCCACCTCCCTCACCGCATAACATGGCTAATTCAGAAATGAGTTTTATATGACTTCAAATGTGTAATTGATATCATATTTCTTGCCTTCTCAATGAGTTAGTGAAAAAGTGAAGTGAGGAAGAGAATTTAGAATAAAAAATAAACAAATAATTAAAAATAATTCCATACCATTGCAATCAAATTCCTAAAGTAACACTATAAAACTAAGGGGGAAAATTACAAAAATCATCTTGAGGAATAAAAAGTCAAGAAACTCAAAAGAAATTAGGGAAAAAATGAGAAAGAAGGGGGGCTTAGCTATGTAAGATCTTTATATTAATAATAAACAATATTTGGTCATACCTAAATAATAGATAAATTGCTAAGGAAAACAAATTGGATACACAAGAATCAGAAGCAAACAAAAATAGAAGTATATTTAATAAACCTGAGGACTACAAATACAGGAGTAAGGACTCACTATACTAAAATAAGATTGGAGTAAAGCAAGGATGTTCATTGTTACCACTATTATTTTATATCATTTTAGAAATGCTAATTATAGGAAGAAAACAGGAAAAAAATGAAGGAACAAATGTAGGTGAAGAAAAAAACAAAATTATTACTATTTTCAGAAAGTACGAAAGTTCAAGTTTTTTAAGTTTACTTAAAAAATCCTAGCAAGCCTACTATAAGTTAACAGGAGTAATTAATAACTTAAGTAAAATATCAGGATACAAAATAAACCCACAGAAATTATCAGTCTATCTATACATTGCTAGCAAAATCTTGTAAAAAATGATAGAAAAAAAATCCATTCAAAATAACTGTAGAAGTATAAAATACCTAGGAGTCCACTTAGCAAAAATATGAAAAGATATAAGCATACAATTACTATACAACTTTGTTTACACTGATATCACCATTTCCTCGAGTTTTCTGCTTCACAGAGTTCTGGAGATTCAGGTCTCAGCCTCTAGAGCAAATCCAGTAGAATAGACATTGGTCCTAAGCTATTATCCTTGAAGTCCCCAGTCCCTTTGGCCCACTGTTTCCCATACAAGGTTTATGACAAGGAATGAAAAAATAAAACAAAGATTTATATACTAAACTGACTTTATTTGAATTGAGTTTTAAAAGGACAGGAATAGTCCTGTTTTTGTCTCATAAAGCAGAAAAAAAAGAAGAAAAGGGTAAAATCAGTGTAAATAAAGCTTAGCAAGATATCTAAGCAAAATTATTCCAAGGGCATTTACAGACAAAAATGGAAGCAGAAAAACAAATAGGAGAAAAATGGAAAATATCTACAAAGATTACTGTAATAAATGCATTTCACTATAAAAGGTAGCAGAATTATCAAAAGGGTATACTTATAGGGGAGCTAGAAATGGCCTTTCATGCAATACATGAATTGAGGTCATTAATAGGAAAAAAAAAGCAAGCTTTAACAAACAGTAGTCAAGAATGATCCACATCTTTACCATTTCAACATTGACTGATAACACAGAGAATACAAATTCAATTTTGTTTTTATTTTATTTTATTTAGCTAGGCAATGGGGTTAAGTGACTTGCCCAGGGTCACACAGCTAGTAAGTGTTATGTGTCTGAGGCCGGATTTGAACTCAGGTCCTCCTGAATCCAGGGCTGGTGCTCTATCCACTGCACCACCTAGCTTCCCCTATTTTGTTTTGTTTTTGTTGATTAATGAAAGCCTATTTGATTAAGTAGAGTAAAACTCTATCCTAAAGGATCTTTTCCAATAAGGCATCTACTGCCTATATGTAAAAAATATTCAGGATTCCTTAAAAGATACAACAGAAATCATCATGTCAAAATATCCCGTGATAAAAAAATAATAATAATAATCAGGGAAGGCATTAAGCAAAGAGATAGATATGTGCCAAAGATATTCACCACTGTGGTGGAGGAGATATAGTGCATAGAATAAATTGGAAATTGATTCTCTGTGGATGTAAAAATTGTCTAGATACTCTGATTCATGAATGACATTTTGCTAGCTTCGTTGTAGAGCTTCATAGAAGATATTTGTAACCATTCAAAATAGTTTGATATGACCATCCACACAGGAAAGACCAAGTGGATCAAAACTTTATTTCTCTGAGTATGACATGAATTTGAATAGTCAACTTATAACAGCTTACATCAGTATACATCTGAGATGAATAGTACAGACAAACAGTGAATGAAGCCCAGAGTTAAACAAGATGACAGTAGGTTGGATTGTCTTTGAAAATTCCTTTAATGACCCTGTTTCCCATGGAAATAAATATTCATATTTTAACATCAACATTCTACTGGTATTGCAGCAAATCATGAAATACAATAATCTCCAAATAACTTAAAAATGAATATCACACAGAGGACAATGGAGTGCTATATGGTGAGTGTAGGCTGCAACACATAGCCAACAAGGAACTTTAAAAAATGGGAATAAAAGATGTCATCCAGGAAATGTGTGATAGGAAGTGAATATGGACTGGCCATGTGACAAGAATGGATGAGAGTTGGACAGCCAGAGTACTTCACTAGTAACCTCACAATATCAGAAGAAAACAAAAATTCCCTAATTATTACAGCTGTCCAGGAGTAGAAGAGGCTACCTCAAGAGGTGCTATAGTTCCTCTTCAAAAAGATCTTCAAGTTCTTTTGTGTATAGGTTGGACTAGATCACTACTGAGGTCTTAGTTTTCAAATTCTGGAATTCTATAGGCAACATCTCCAATAGGTTGGGTGGGCCCCCAGTGGAGGACTAATAGAAGATTATATAGACAAAAATCATAGTGAATGGGAAGGCATGAATGGGTTGTATCATAGAAGAGCACTCCTAAATCAATGAGATCATAGATCCATTTGAGAATTAAGTGTTTTGAAAATATGGTTCTGAAATGTACCAGGGACATGGATGAACTCTAGGCATATTCTTTCTCTAACTTAGGAAATTGATGTTGAGTTAAACCTCATTTAACCTGAAAAAAAAAACAAACAAAAAACAAAGAGAATAACTAATGGCTCATGAGAAATATGTTTATGTGTGCAGTATCACTTTAAATATTATTCCATATTTTAAAATGCATTTTATAATAGAGTGATCAGTGATTCTTGTAGGAAATTTCAATATAATGTTCTATTGTTTTCTCACGTTTTTCAAGAAAATTTCTACATGGTCAATACCTTGTGCTAAGCTGTCTCTATCCACTGTCCTAACCAGTGGAAGGCCCAGGTTTGATTGTTTGGCCCAGGTTTGATTGTTTGGTCCATGATGCCATAACTCAGGCTCCAGTGTGCATCTAGGGTCCAATTACCTGAATGGAAATGAACAGCTTCAAGTAAACTTGTCTTACAAAGCCAAACTTAAAGTCACAGCATATGTCACAATACTTTTTACTAAGAAGATAGTGGTTATAACGTCATCATTCTTTTATAATTAACAAGAAATCTCAGGATTATGCTGCTGTTTTATCATATGTGTTCTGTTATGTTGGCTCATAAAGAGATCTGGCTAGTGGACAGTGTTTTTCTGTTTTTCTTTAAATTGCATACAATATGTGAGTGATGCTAAGTCACCTGAGATCTCGAAACCTCAATTTCCACATATGTAAAATGCCCTCAAAGATTTATATCTCTTCTAAATAGCAGGCAGGTAGGTGTTACAGTAGATAAGGCACTTAGCCTGGAGTCAGAAATACCTGAGTTCAAATCTGGCCTCTGACATTAACTAGCTGTGTGACCATGGGCAAGTCACTTAACTCTGTTTGCCTCACTTTCCTCATCTGTAAAATGAGCTGGAAAGGGAAATGGCAAACCAATCCATTATCTTTGCCAAGAAAACCCCAAATGGGGTCACAAAGAGTCAGATACAACTGAAACAATTTAACACAAATATATAAATATATATATGTGTGTGTGTGTACACACATATACATATACATACATAATAAATGTATTATGTTTGTATATATACATACACATATATGCATGCATACATATATGTACATATATATACATATATATATATATAAATATATATGGCTGTCATATGGGGAAAAATAAGATGAATGTGGTATTGTTCCAAAGAAAAGACATAAGATGAATGGGTAGAAGGAAAAGAGTCCCAGATGGGTCACAGAGGATGTGACCTAATCCCTTCTCTGGAATTTTGTCACTTTACCACTTGGGACCTCTGTTTTCTCATCTATAAAATAAGGGGTTTATACTTAGGAGTTTATATCCTTTCTAATTCTAAAATCCTAAATGACAGAGGAATGTTTCTTCCCAATAGAGGGAAAACCTTCTAAAAGTCAGAGCTGTCTAACAATGGCTAGCTACCTAGGAAGGTAGTGAGTTTCCTGCCACTGTAGGTATTTAAGCAATATTAGGTACAAAGCAGAGGGATTTTCTGATTTTAAAAGATTACATTAGTAGGTTTCTAAGATCCACCTAACCAACTCTAAAATTCTATCATTTCCAGGGCGAGATTCTATGACTTCCTTATCCTGAATTTCACAATTCAGAGCTTCCTGCTGTTGAAGGAGGATCATATCTCCCTGGTGCTCTTCCCTATTCCTTTTCCCATTTGTTTTCCCCAAAGGACAGAAAACTCCTCAGGCAGCGCTCTTCCCTGCCTTTTTCTAACCCTATGTACACTTTGAAAACTCTCAAAAATGCCATTAATTATAATGATAATGACACTTTGTACTTTTATAGGCTCTTTCATCAGAGGATCTCTGAGCACTTAAAAATATCATCTCATTAATCCTCACAACACCACCTGGGAGACAGCTGGCAAGTAAACTTATCCCAGTTTCACAGGGAAAGGAAGTGAGATACGCAGAGATATTTACGGACTTGGTCCAGATTGGACAAAGTCCCTTTGCCTGAAACTCGCTTGGGCAACCTCTTCTAGTTGCTGTTAATGAAGGAAAGGACATTAAAAAAATGAAAGTCCTAAGTATTCTCTGGCTTATTTTAGTATTCTTTACAAACTTGATTCTTCGTGACCCAAATTCGTAGGCTTGGAAGGTGAGTGGAGGGGGAAGGGGGAAGGGGCAGTCCTTTAGTTGGTAATAAAACTATTGGATTTTTTTTTAAATTTTGGTCCATACCTGCAATTTTACTGGTATAGGGAACTCCTAAGGAGGAAATGCCTCCTATTGATGCAGATAGGAAACCACTCTACAGCTTATAGTCTTAGAAAGTTTCCCAGGATACTGTGGCCTTCCCCTAGTTTTCCAATCTTATTATACTCCATACCCTTTCTTACCATTTGCACCTCCATCCCATCCCCCCCACACATACACACACACACATTGTGGGCCATTAACACTGACCTTGCTATTCCCCTCATGAGACAATCTCTCTCACCTCCAGGCATTTTTACTGACTTACCCCCATGCCTAGAATGTTCTCATCTCTACCTACTGGTTTCTCTGGCTTCCTTCAAGTCCCACCTAGAATCCTACATTCTAAAAGAATCCTTTCCTGACCTTCCTTAATTCTAGTACCGTCTCTTTTGATCATCTCCCATATATCCTGTACGTAGTTTGTTTGTACACAGTTGTGTGCAAGTTCTCTCCTCTATCAGACTGAGCTCCTTGAGAGGAGGAACAGTCTGTTGCCTTTCTTTTTATCCCCAGAGCTTAGCACGGCATCTGGTACATAGTAGGCACTTAATAAATATTTATTGACTGACTAACATAGCCAGTGTTTGTCAATAGGCAGGAGTTGAACTCAGGCTTGACTCCAAAACTCAGTTCTCTATTCACTTTAGATGTGTACAAACTGTCATGTTTGACTCTTTGTGGCCCCATTTGGGATTTTCTTGGCAAACATACTGGAGCGATTTGCCACTTCCTTCTCTTCCTTCCTTCTCCTTGCCACTTTATTAATGAGAAAACTGAGGCAAATAGGGTTAAATGACTTGCTCAGGGTCACACAGCTAATGTTTGACATTTGAACTCAGGTCTTTTTGACTCCAGGCCTAGTTCTCTATCCACTGTACCACCTAGTTGCTAATCACTTTAGATAGTATTGTGCAAGTTGGAGTTTATTCCTAAGACATGAGGAAAGAATGTAACTCAAACCTTTAAACCAAAAACTGATATTATTGCTATTATAGTTTTGTAGTTCTACTTTAAAGAGAATTATATAATATTAGTAAAATTATGAAATGTCAGAACTGCAAGAGACATTAGAATCAGTATATTAAGATCAAAATGGGAGCCTTAGAATCATAGAACTATGCAACATCAAGGCTGGAAGGGACCATAGTGACCACCTAGCCCAGTGGTTCTCCAACTTTTCCACAGTAGCAGAGTCCTTCAATTTAAACAAAACTTTGACAGAATCCTTGTAATAAAAGCCACTAAAAATATTAGTTTAATGCCTATTAACAAATAATATAGGGTTCATTTCTTTTTAATTAAAGAGTTTTATGGCTCCTTGCAGCACAGTTTGATAAACACTGATCTATCTCATCCTCATTTACAGAAGAGGGATGCAGGAAACTGAGATATTAAGTGAGATCACACCTAGAATATTAAGTGAGGTCACACAACTAATCAGTAGAAGAGCTGGGAATAGAACACAGGTTCCTTGACTCTCAGGCCCCTTTACTTTCCACTAAATCCCATTTTCCAGAAGGAAGCTGTCAGAAATCTGTTTAAAAACATAAAATGAGCTGGTCAAAAATCACCTCATCTCCAAAGGAAGGTGATTTGTGTTAAATAGAAATAAAAGAATTGGAGATTCATGTGACAACAAGTCTGAGTTGTTGGAGGCAGCAACCTAAGACCCAAACTGGCAAGGATGACAGTCTCTGTTTTGGGTAGAAACAGGCTTCTTTGACTCTAAGAATGTATTCAAGATATATAATGGATACCTGTCTGATATAATTAATTATATTTTTCCTAAATTTAACATTGCCTGAAGGGAAAAATCATTTTGCTTGGTAAAATCCCTCATGCCACACAAAGTCTGTGAAAGAGCCAGATTTAATTGCTGTGATAAAAACCACAAGAAAGACCAGGTTTGCATTAAATCTATAACCACATCTACTGAAGAATAGCTTTAATCACCTTTGAAATGGTGACCACAAGATAATTAAAGGGAAAGTGTGCTCATTGGTAATTATCCAGGAATATCAAATCTCCGTTTATCATGGAGTCCAATTTAAAATATCTTGGCAAGAGATTCATTCCTTACCCCCCACGCCTCCCCAATCCCCTCCCTTTTAAGCTTAGGACTCCATGTTCCATGGATCTTTGTGTCATTTAACAGTCCACTAATGGGTTTCCATTTAGAAGGGGCTGTGGCCTCCTTCCACTGCCCGGTATTATTCTCATGAACTCATCAGATAAAAGACAACAGAAACAAGTCAGAGCATTTGCTCTCCACTGACAAGTTTGTTTCTCCATAAACCTAAGACTAACCATGAACTTTAAGGTTCCCACACTTTCCCTGAGTCTCCTACCTCAGGGAGGGAAAAATAAAAGATGAAGAAAAAAGAACAGAAGAGAAAAGGGGGAAAAAAAACCGTATGTGACTGAGGAAATGTAAAAGGGGGAGGGAAGCCCTTAAACCAAGTGTGTAAATCACTGTAGACTTGTGATTTATGTTAACTTTAACTGGGCTTATTGTGGCTCCCCAGATCTGGGCTCACCTTCAGGCAGAAATGGAAACCTGTGGGGTTACATTCTTTAAAGACCTCAGAAGCTTTGTTCCAGACGATTACTCTCAGGCCTCTGTCTCCTCTCTTTTCCTAGCCCCTCCCCTTCCCTCCATCCACTCTCTCTTTCCCTTCTTTCCCTCTCCTCTTCCACCTTCTCCCTTTCCCTTCCTCATTGATCCTCCTCTCCCCTGTCTTCCTCTCCTCTCCTTTCCTCTTTCCTACTCCCACCCACTCCCCTCCTTATCCACTGGGTTCTGGAACTAATATTGGATTTTTCAGAAGGCCTGGATTCAAACCCCATCTATGATACATATTTATTTTGTTACCCTGGACAACTCATTTCCTTTCTCCTAGTCTAATTTTCTTTCTCTGTCAAATGAGCTGGGTGGACTAAATGATCTCTAAAGTAATTTCCAGAATTGAATGTCTGTGCCTTTATGAAGTCATAGAACTGGCAGTCATCCTCCACACCCTGTCCCTTCTCCCAGCATCAGTAATTGGAGCTAGCAGTTCAAATGTGCTCACAAGTCACTGCCTGCTTTGGCTGCTAACCCTTTATGGGGAATGAAAAGCCCAGTGCACTCTCCTCCATGCCCTGAGGTAGCCTGTTGCACTGGAGTTAGGCAGCTTCAGTGCCTATCTGCTTTGTGTCACCACATCTCCTTTAGTAAAAAAGAAAAAGAGTGCCTGGAAGATGCTCCCTTCTCACTTCTGGCTCTCAGAAACCCTGGTTTCCTTCCATATTCAGCTCCAGAACAGCCTTCTATATGAATCTCCTCATGGTCCCCCAAACTACCAGAGTATTCTCCCCCAAAATGTCTGTTTACAGTGCTTGTATTTTAAGGATTTAATAATAGTAATAGACAGTAAGAATTTAATACAGATGTTTCAGTCAATAGAATTTAAATAAATAGAAAGATAGAAAGGCAGACAGACAAGCAGACAGACAGATAGATAGATAGATAGATAGATAGACTTATCTTTCCATTTATAATATAAGCTCCTTGAGGGTTTGTATTTTTCTTTTCATTTCACTACTTTTTGGCATAATACCTTGTATATAGAAAGCATATAGTCAGTGTTTGCCAATCAATTGATTGTCAGTTTAACCAAAGCAGAGAGTAATGGAACTATCATCTTTTGATGCAGACACCATAGATTTATTCACATAGCATAAGGTGACATAAGTTTTTTAGGTTTTTTTGAGCAGCCACATCACAATATTGACTCCTAGTCTGTTCCAAATAGTCTTCTGTCAAGCATGTGTCCTCTATCCTATATTCATGGAAGTAGTTAAAGAAAAACTTAAATATAAGATTTTACATTTGTGCCTAATACATTTCATCTTATTAGATTTGGCCCACCATTCTAATGTAGAGATCTTTTTAAACCTTGAGCCATTCCTCCAAAGCATTAGCTATTCTTCATAGTTCTGTGCCATCCATAAATCTGATCTCTATCCAAGTAAATAATGAAAATGTTAAACAGAAGAAGGCCAAGTTCTGAGCCCTGGAGCACACCACAAAGACCTCTCTACAAGTAGACATTGATACATTTAACAACACTTTGAATAGTATCCTTTAGCCTGCTACCAGTTCAACTATCATTTAGTTTTTGTTTCTCTATTTAATCTCCAAGGAAATCATTGAGTCAGTCTCAACTTGGAGGGAGGACTCTGTTGGAGTGCCCTTGGAATCTGTGCTATTCAACATTTTTAAGAGTGATTTGGATAAAATTATTGAAGATAGGTGGTACAGTGGATAGAGTGCCAGGCCTGGAATAAGGAAGAGTTATCTTCCTTGGTTCAAATGTGGCCTCAAATATTAACTAGCTGTGCAACCCTGGGCAAGTCACTTAACCCTGTTTACCTCAGTTTCCTTATCTGTAAAATAAGCTGGAGAAGGAACAGCAAGTCACTCCAGTATCTTTGCCAAGAAAATCCCAAATGGGGTTATGAAGAGTTGGACATCAACAACAAATTGAAGAAATGCTTGTAAAGTTTTCAGACAACATAAAGCAGGGAGGGATAATACAAGAGTATGTTGGAACTATTTCCAACTGACTACCCAGAGCCCATCCTTAAATGTTCAATGTGAGCATCTAAACCTTGGAAATCAGAAACCTTCCAAAGTTACAAATCTCAGCTTGATTTATTGTTTTGTTGATTGTCTAGACTAGGGGGTCTGCAAACTACTACCTGAGAGATAAATATGTCCTGCTACCTATTTTTGTACAGGGCAGGCAAGCTCAGAATGGTTTTTATGTTTTTTTTAAATACAATAATTTTTTTAAATACAATAAAATATTTTTTAAATACAATAAAACTTTATTTTAAGGTGTAAAAGTCACTCAGCTCATGGCCATAATACAGATTAAACATAAAAGCATGTCATTACTTTTTCCCTAAGAGATGGTTTTTAAATATTTAACCACACCCCTGGATAGTATAAATGGTATATCACAGAATTAGGTTAGAACAATGAGCCAAATTTAGAAAGATGAAATTTAAGAGGAATAAATATAAAGTTCCAGATGTGTTTTTGAAGAGTTTCACAGGTACAGGATGGAGAAGGTGTGGCTAGACAACTGTTTCTGTGAAAAAAGATCTAAGTGTTTCTGTAGATGGCTACAAGTAATCAATGTAATACTATAAGTAATCACTCTGAATAACCAATGTGATATGGTAGCCCCAAAAAGCTGATGCTCTCCTAGATTGCATCAAGAGTCATCAGGTTCACAACAGGGTAGATACGAGTTTCCTTTAACTCGACTGGTCAGACCCCATCAGGAGTGCTGTGTTCAATTTTAGACACCCCATGTTAATGACATAGACAGGTTGGACTGAAAGGATATGTTATTCAAGGACTGGTTGAAGGAATTTTGCTGGCACATGGTAGCAGTCAATATTTGAAGGGCTGTCATATTGAAAAAGAAACATACTTTTACTACGTGTGGTTTCCCCAAAGTCAGAACCAGGAGCAATACGTTTAATTTTGCCTTAAGAGGCATATTTAGGTTTGACGGGAAAAAAAAAATGAAATCTTCCTTTCAATTAGGGACATCCCAAAGTAGAATAGGCTGCCTGGGGAGGTAATAGGTATATTCTCTGTTGAGGTTTTCAAGCACAGGTTGGATGACCATTCATCAGTGGTAGCTTATTAGCAGATACTTGGTTTGATACAACTGTACTATCTACCCTTTGATATCTTTTCCAACTTGTCTTTTGGGTCAGCGATTTCAAGAAATGTTTGTTGTTATTGCTTGTTTCATTTTGTTTGTTTGTTTTTTTATCTTGCTGAAATAGTGATACATGATAGCCATACCATTCCCTTGATCAACTAGTCTAATAACCCTATGATAAAAAGAAACACAGTTAACTTAGTATGACATCATAGACATCACAGAACATATGCCATAAAATAAGAGGACTGACCTAGATGACTTTGAACAGCCCTTCAAGCTCTGAATCTATGATCCTATAACCCCTTGTTCCAATTATTAAAAATCCTACACTAGGAATCCTCTCTAATGAAGATTTCCAAGCTCAAGTTAATAAACATTGCCTTGTCAAAAGCAATGTTGCCTCCAATAAAATTTCCATCCCATTGAAGAATTGGATTTTCCCTTGGAGTTCTCTGTAATAAACTACAATTGTTCTATGTGTTAAAATATGTATTTCAGCCCTCAATAGGATCATAGACTCAGGACTAAAAAAGAATCTTAGAAGTCTAGTTTAACCCCTCCCTCATTTTATACGTGAAGAATCTAAGGACCACAAAGGTCAAGGATTTGACCAAGGTCCAACAGGTTGTAAGTATCTGAGGCGGGATATGAATCTAGGTTTTCTGACTCCAAATCCAGCATCTTCCTACCACATGGTAATATTTGGGTTTTTATGAAAGTATTACTTTAGTTTTGTTCATCTTCTTTTATTGTCATCTTCATCTATGAGTCAAGAAGTCGAGATTGTAGTCCCAGCCCTGTCCCTAACTGGCTATGTGACCATGGACAAGTCATTTTAACTTTGCTAAATACCAGGTTCCTTATTTGAAACATCAGAGTAATGGGATTTGCATTACCTACTTACCTCACAGGGATCCTGTGAACAAAATGCTTTGTAAACTTTCACCCACTCGAGAAATGGTAGTTATCATTATTACTATGTCTGCATGCAACCCCATGAGACCAAAAAATCCTGGAAAAGTAAGATAGAAAACTGTCCCAAGCTGTGAACAGCAAAATGTCTCCTTTCTCTCTGAGCCCCAGGATTCATAGACATCGGCAATCAAGTGTCACAAGTGCTGACAGTATGTCTTATGATCTTTGGTGGTTGATCTAAAAAAAAATTCAAGACATGCACACATGTGAAAACCAGAAAGTGAGCCTGCTGATATATCCTCAGCATTAGATATAAATGACATTTCAAAATCTGCTATAAATATGTGGTTTTGCTAGAGTAAATCAGGTTGGGAGAATATGTGCAGAAACCTAGGAATGGACTGCAATGGGTGGTGGGTAGTTAGAGAAAAGAAAGTGAAGGCGAAGGCCATGGAGAAGAAAAGAGCATGTGAGGATTCCATTGAGGGGGTCTAATTAGGAAATAGGAGGTAGAATTTAATTTAAGCCAATCCAACAGGCATTTTTTAAACACCTACTATGACTCAGGAACTACTAGGCACTGAAGATACAAAGACAATAATAAAAAGAGTCCCTTCCTCAAGAAGCTCCCATTCTACTCTGAGAAAAGAACACACATACAGAGAAATGTGTTATTTCAGGGGAAGGAAGGTGGTGGAAGACAAAAAAAAAGTAGTCAAACAGAAGTCAAAAGACCTAGACTTCAGTCCTAGCTTTGTGACACTTACTAGCAGGGTGCTTCTGGACATATTACTTAGAATCTGTGAATCTGAATTAACTCACATATAAAGGAGGGAGGTAACAATATTTGCAAAACATAGCTCACAGGATTGTTGTGAAGAAAGTGTCTTATAAGTATTAGGTCATTTATTACTGCTATTATTATCATTGATTGTAGTTGTTGTGCAGCGTGTGTTAAATAATCTATTATCTACTTACAAGCTACTTATTTCACTGAAGTCTATTAGGCAACGTTGAAAAAAAAAAGCTGAAACAACACTTCTGGACCAATAAGGAACCACTTGGGAAGCCAAAGGAGTCTGCTAGTCATGCATAAGCACCTTTGCACAGAGAACTCATTCAGTGATCTGGACCCTAGATGACCAGTGCATTGCTTTCTAGCCATTGTATAAATGTTCAATGAAGATTCATGCTCTGAATAAGTCAGTCCAGGAACCTCTTCTGATCATCAGGGGATGATGTCTACAAGGTTGACTGGGCCAATTCTTTCTGGTATTAACCCTATAGCTAGAGTTTCTGAAGACATCAAGATACTCTCCTTAACCCACCTCCAAAAGTGCAATTCACAGCCAGCACAGAAAAGATTTGATTGCCCTCTTGGGTAACCTCATCAGGTTTCCAATCTAAACTAACTCAAGCCAATTCAATTCAACAGACAATCACCTAAAATTATGCAATGCCATATCAGGTGCTAGGGATACAAAGACAGAAAAAAATGACCCTCAAATGAAATAATGCCCTCAAAAAGGTCTAACAGGGTACACAATACTTCTTCAAGATATGGTTATAGGTGGGGGCAGCTAGGTGGCACAGTGGATAGAGCACTGGCCCTGAAGTCAGGAGAACCTGAGTTCAAATCTGGGCCTCAGACACATAACACTTACTAGCTGTGTGACCCTAGGCAAGTCACTTAACCCTGATTTCCTCACCAAAAGGCCAAAAAAAGAAGATATGGTTATAGTAGGAGTGCTAGTTTTGAAAACCAAGTACCCAAGTTCAAATCCCACATTTTCCATTTTACTATCTGTGTGAACTGGAGACAAACATTTAACCTCTCTAGACCTCAATGTCCTCATGTATAAAATCAAATTGGAAATAGACAACATCTAAGATCCCTTCCAGCTCTGAATCTATGATCCTGGGAAGATTTTAAGGATCCATAATTACGTAGCTGTGTGCTTTCTCCACCAGTAGTATGCACCATCTTCTTCCTCTAGTTTTGTAGACAATCTTCAAAAATTGTTGTGAGAGATAATTGGAAAACATCTGTAGTGTCAAACTCAAAAAGCACTAAGATAACCTTTTTTTTGTGAAAAGGAGAAAAAAAATGTTGCCATGGCTGGAAAAAAACTATCACTTTATAGGCAACCAGTTGATAAGCTTTTCTCTGGGCTTAGCTAGGCTTGCTGGTGGATAGCAGACATATAGACTGTCACTGGTCATATATACTCAAAGCCTTTACAGTTTAAGAAAACTTGACAGAGCTTGTCCACTACCGACCTTGTCTTCAAGAACCCAGGGGAGGCACCATGCCACGAAGATGTGGGACTATAGTGGAGTGGAGTCAAGTGAATAAAATAACAACAATTCACATTTATATAGTACTTTAAGGCTCACAGATTACCTTCTTCCAAACAACCCTACAAAATACATGAGTATCAGCATTGTTACACCCATTCTATCACTGAAGAACTGGGAGGAGACATGAATAAACTTATCCATAGTCACATAGTTGGTACTTGGAGCTTAGAGTGGAAGGGCCATCTCCTGATTCTAAGATCAATGTTTCTTCTCCTACACCATACTGTTTCTCCTGGGCAGAACATAAGTGCAAAGGGGAAGTCCCAACAGAGTGCTTAAAAAAATGTGAAGAAGGAGTCATCACATTCCAACATTCTAGATTACACTCTGTTTCTAAAGAATGAACATTTCCATTAAGTCAGACTTCAGATACTAACTATCTACAATTGCACTGATGTGGAAAATCCTTCTAGTAACAAAGGTCACAACCTGTCTACAACTTCATAGATAAGTCTTCAGTAAGTTGCCTGAGGCTCCAAGCAGTCCTGCAATTTATTTGTGATTCCAGAAATCATGTCAGAAGTGGAACTTAAACTTGAGTCTTCCCAACTTGAAATCTAAAACTCTAATCTATCCATTCTACTATTCTTCCTTATTAAGACTTAACATGTTATGATTCCAATGCTTCAGTTCATACCTATAAACATGTCAGAAATCATAGTAGCTATGTTGATTCTATCAGGCCACGTGCATGCCATTTAGTGAACTCTTACTTCAATTCAGCATTGGAATTAATAAATGCAGAACTAATTTAAATACCTTTAAATCCTATTAACTTAGAGCACCTTCTCTGCAACTAACATTCTTAAAGAATTCACTAAAGCACAGTGGATAGAACACTTGGCTTGGAGTCAGGAAGACTTGTCTTCCTGACCTCAAATCCAGCCTCAGACACTTACTAGCTGTGTGACCCTAAGCAAATCACTTCACCCCGCCTCAGTTTCCTTATCTGCAAAATGAGCTGGAGAAAGAAATAGCAAACCACTCCAGAATCTTTGCCGAGAAGACCCCCCAATAGAGTGGTGAAGAGTTGTACATGTCTGAGATAACTAAACAATAAGAACAACAAAAGCACTGAGAGGTTAATTGAATTGTCCCTGGTCATAAAAAAAAAAAGAGTAGGTATCAGAGGCAAGACTTGAATCCATGCCTTTCTGGCTTTAAAGCTGACTGTCTATCTACCATACCATTCTATGAAAGGGAATGGAATCCATAATCCACATAGATAACCATTTCATTTCTACCAGCCTAAAAATCACCATGTACAAACTTATTTTAGAGTTGCCCTAAGCCTTGAGCAAAATAACCTTATAGCAAAGATGATAGCAGAGAAAGATCCAGCTGGTAGCTGTTCATGAGCATGAGTTTTTATAATTTATCTGCTGGAGAAGATATGGTGGAGAAGTTTCAAGGAAAGTTCCATGTTTACATCCTCACCCTATATTCAGCTCTTCAAATTGAGTCTCAGAGAATCACAGAATGCAGAGCTGAAAGGATCTTAGAATAAAAGAATATTGAATGTTAAAGTCTTAGAGATCATCTAATTGCTCACTTCATTTTCCAAATGAGGAAACTGAAGCTGAAGGAGGACAAATCACTTGTTTAAGATTACGCAGTAAATTATCATCAAGGTGCGAAGTCAGAATCTAGATTTCCCAGCTCCTGGGCTGACTATGGAAAATCAACATGCTTATAGTACTTGTATTACCACCAATCAATTTCAGATACCACATTGACTAAAAGACCCTTATATTTTCCCAGTTCAATGCAAAACAATACAGCACTCAAAATCATAAGGGTATAGGACATGAGTGCTAGAAGGGTCTTTGGCACTTGTCTAGGAAAGGCACCATGGTTTAATATCAAAAGTTCTAGACTTGGACTAGATCATCTCCAAGGTCCACTCCAATTAAATAACTATGATCCCATGACTTGATAACTAGAGAAACATCACATAATCATAATGACTTAGCTTGACCCTAAAGAAGTAATAAGAAAATGCATTTTTCTTCTTTCTCTGCAGATACGGGGGACTTTGGATATGGTACATCGCATATGCTATCAACCTCAGCTGAAGTGCTGAATGGTTTTGAAGAACTGCTATTTTTTTATGTCCTTTTTATTCTTCATTACAGAGGGAAGGATTTCTTTAGAAATGAATGGAACACAAGACTATGAGTCTAAGAGCCATCTACTGGATTCTAAACCTGGCTATGGCAGAAATTTACTGTATGACTTTAGGAAAGTCCTATTCCCTTTCTGGGCCTCAGTTTCCTCATATGTAAAATGGAGGAGTTTCGACTAGATGATCTGTATCATCCCTTCTAGCTCTAATACCTTAACGTACATTCTATATTACCAGGAATCTACTTTCTGCATTCATCTCTTCCTCTTCCAAATTCCTATAGCAGCCATTGCCTTTGCCACTCATATGGGATTTACCAATATATTGACATATTACTCCATTATTTGACTATCCTATTTTTAACTTAAAGGCTGTTAAGGGCAGGCAGAATGTCTCATGTCTCTTTGTAAACTTAGAACTTAAAACACAGCCCTATGTATTGTATATATCCAATAAGTGTTTATGATTATGGTGATGATAAGGGAATAGTTATGGTGATGGCAATAAGCATAGTGGTGATAGTGGTGAAGAGGAACAAAA